CCTCCTCCTCCTCCTCCTTCTCCACCTGTTATCCATGGGGTAGTAAAGCGCAAGTCTGAGGGGGCTGGAGCTGTTACAAAAGCAGATCCCAATGCGTGCAGCAAATGTTTAGGGATTGTACGGATAAACGTACAACTTGGCAAACAAGTGAGGCGTGAATGTAGGCATGAATAATGACGCAAGATCCCGCGCTAGCCAGGCCCCTGTGGAGCATAAAGGGTAATTAACCTGACTGTATGTAGCTGCAGCCTACAGGCCTCCATGCTTAGTTAAAAAAAAAAATGCTTCTTAAAACAAGATTTATTATCATCTAAAGCATGAAATAGGAACAATTAATCTCTTCATTCCCGAGAGAGCGCTGGGAAGCAAGCGGCAGTTTCACGGTGCAAACGCAGTCTGCTCATGCCCTGACACTCACCAGGGTCCTTCCGCGGTGCCAGGAGCCGACAGCCGGGTCAGCCTTGGCTTTATTCTGGCCAAAGAATTGGCTGAAAAGGTCTCGGGGGTTGCGTTTCAACAGGGCCCCTCCCTGCTGCTTTTCTGACTTTCTGCTTCAAAAGAAGGATGAGGTTTGTGTTTTTAAGAAGGTTGACCGTACCTGCATTAAACCAAATGCATTTCCGTGGTCGCCCCAGCCATCCTTCAGCACTGTCCCGGCGTGTGACTCTCGAGAGATAATACCAGCAATCACAGCTGGATCAACGCACTTGCTGTTGCCAACTTTTGTAATCTTGGCGTGGTATTTCTCCATGTTCTTCAAATCTCCTTCTGCAATCTTCTCCGAGGCAGAAACTCCTACAACACAATGTGCCTGACTTTTCCTTTCGTTTTTAAAATCAGAAACAAGTTGTTCTAACAAACCGCCATTATGAGTGAGCTGACATTTGGAATCCTTCTGGATCTATTTAGAGGGAAGCAATGATAGAATTGACCAATTTTGCTGAAGGGTAAAAGTGCCCTAGAAATCAATACACAGATGATATAAAAGACTTTTTTTCAAATACAGAGGGCGGTTCTCCAGCGTGCAGACTAAAAGGCGGGTCTTCTTGTTTTCAGTCTAAGCCTTTGGGTGGATTAGTCCCAGATGTAGTTCCTTTTAATAGAGGACCATAATGGGGAAGTGTTCAGAAACTTAGGTCATGAGGGAAACCCTCTTAAGGGAGAGAGAAAAGCAGGCTCGATGGCAGGGCTTGGATGTACCCAGCAGACCTCGCATTTTCTCTGTGATGGGCTTGAATATTCCTTAGAACATCTCAAAGGCAACTCTATTCCCGACATACATAAACTTATGTGCCCACGTAGGATCTTTGTTGGTTGTGGAAAAATTTCCTCGCGTGGCAATGACTGATAGCCAAAGACCAGGATCTGTAATAGGCATGAGCTTGTGCATGGATGTAAGGGGAGATGAACAACGAATTAGTGCCTACCTGCATAGCTCAGACCTTCTGGTTTCGCAGTGGCCTCCGAAGCTCCAGTTGTGTCAACATTCAGTATATTCCCATAACGCTCCAAACAGCCTAAGAGCAGTATTTACAACCAAACGTCAGACCAGCGCAGTGTGTGATGCACGCCATTAAAATGTTTTCAGATCCATGACTGACACCCATAGCACCATTTCGATACTAGTACAGGCATTTATGCTAGCAGATGCGGTCATGGTATCGTATGCTCTGGGAAGGATTACCTCTTGGTCATGCTAGCATAAAGCCACGGTGTAGCTTATGAGGTGAACTGGTGCTTTGTGCACAAGTCATCTCCCCTAATTTTAGCTTGCCTAAAACTTAGCTGTCTAGTCTAAGCTTGTGACTTGGGCTGCCTGCATAGCCAATGGTGAAAGGCACCTCCAAAAGGTGTTTTTTCTATTCCAAAATAAAAAAAAAAATCTATGAAAGTCAAAAGAATTCCTACGCTATTTGCTGTCTCCAGCTTGCTTTCCCATAGCTACCATCAACAGGGAAAACCTGAGAGAAACGTCCTCCAATTACATCCATTCCAATTTATCTGACTTGCAGTCTGTTTGACTTGCGATTTATCTGCATTTATCTGTTCCCTAAACATGCCGTTGCAGAAGGGAAAACATGCAAACAGCAGCTGAGAGGAACGATGCTAACCCGAGCCCAGCAGTTAATGGAAAACAGAATTTAGTACAGTGAATTATTTACAAGAACATTAGACAAACATCACAGACCTGACATGTTTGCTGCAGGATGTCTCCCCACCTTCTTGCACGCTTCCGAGAGACAAACGGGCTTTTTATCTGCTGGCGGTGTTTTGAAGCAGCTGACTCAGTGCACTTCCCGCACACCACTGGTATTACGGGAAACAGGAGTGCCTTTACTGAAAGAGTGGTTAAACA